CTGTCTGTCACCCACGGGCCTGCCCCACCCCAGCCGCCCTCAGGCAGTGCCTCCCGCCTGCTCAGTAAACAGCTCCCAGCAGAAAACGCCTGGCATGGAGCGTCTTTGGTGTTGTTTTGTTTTGTTTTGTTTTGTTTTGTTTTGTTTCCACTACCTGTGAAATTATAATCCTGCCGTTTCAGGCGCCGCCCCACAGCGAGGAGGTCTGGCCGGGCCTGGGAGGATGGGCTGGGAGGACGGGCTGGCGTCACAATTGCCCCAGGTCTATTTCTAGCTCCATGTCCTGCACTTCAACCCCAGCAAATGCTACCAGGGATGTTCCTTAAAATGAAACACACGAGTTGCCGTGGCAGCCACCTCTCCGCATCTGTGGAAGGCGGCAGGGAGCGGGCAGGGACGTGGTGGCTCCCGCTGGAAAGCGGGTGTTGGACGGGGCGCCCGCCTGTGCAGAGAGTGCAGCAGCCACGGCACTGGCCTGGCTGCGCTGCGGCGGGGCCCTGATGTCGGTGGGGAGTTGTCTGAGGTGCAGTGGGCCTTAGGAGGGACACGGGTATACGTCTGTGGTTGCTCAGAAATAATACGATTGCCTGGTTCTGAAGACTGTTTCTCAGAGTTCTGTCGGGTCTGCTGAGGACTGAGTTTGCAGTGGGCGCTGGGCCAGCCTGGGAGCTGAATTCGCCGGCTGCCGGGCACCCCGCTCCCCACGCCAGTGTCCAGCTCTGCACCCCGAGCACCCTGCTCCGCGTACCTGTGGGAGGGGACGGGTGTTCGGACTGGAGGTGGCAGGAGGCAGTTCGTGTCTCGAGACACGAGCCACACTTCCCGAATTTCCATTCTATTAAGCCGTTTTGAATGCGCTCCCCCCAGCATTTGCTCAGCCTCCCGCTCTCTGTGCCGCCCGCCCTGGGAGTTAATGAGCCTCCTTGGCAGACAGCCAGGCTCCGAGGCAGCGGCAGAAGGTGGCGGTGATGGGAGCCGCGCTCTTCAGTGGCTCCTGACATGACATGAACCAGCCTGAACGTCTCAGGATTGTTAAGAAAGTTACTGGAAATATTTTCATTCCATGTAAATGTCATCCCTTTGAATAGCTAAATAATTCAGATTTGAATACGGTTTAGGTGGGTAATAAAGCCAAACAGAGTGGAAGCTGGGGGGCAGGCGGGAGAGAGGCCCCCAGGCGGGAGGGCAGGACCCGGGCTGCGGGGGCTTGGTCCCGGGCAAGCTGGGACCACTACCTGTGTGGGTCTTTGTTCTCAGAGGGAGGGCGTTGTCATCAGGCTGGCTGAGTGTCCGTAATGAAGTTCAGGCCTTCGAGGCTTTCGCTTTGGAATTTATTTAATTAAGGAAAACTCACGCTTAGGTGGGTCTTTTTTGTGTGTTAATAAAGGCTTTATTTTTTTTTTCTTTCCTTTGTTGGATCATGATTATCGGCAGTCTTTGGTTTACATAAAGTCCCCTCTTAGGGTGTTCTGGGAGTCAGCTGCCTGGCCCCCCCCCACCGCAGTCTCCCCCCCTGGGCTGGGGGAGGGGCAGGCCTGCTCCTAGACCCCTTGCTCGACTCGGAACTCGAATGTCCAGCCAGCGCCACGGAACGTGGCTGAGCCCCGTGGGCAGGCGGTGGGGAGGCCCCAGGACTCGCTCTACCATTTGCTGGGATTTTCTTTGTTTTAATTCTCAGAATTACCTTCCTGCCAAAAAACAGTAGATCATAGATTTGCACGAAATTCTTCAGCTGGAGCAGGAGTTGTGGGGATCCGCCCACTAGACCCCTTGCAGGTCCGCACGGCCGCGGGGTGCTGGGGGCAGAGGCTGGGGGGCCTGTCCCAGCGCCACGTCTGGGTTTGTGGGGCACAGTTTGTACGCTTCTGTCAGCCTGTGCCAGGGCTGCCCTTCCAGAGTCGAGGGCTTGTCTCTAAAGTGAAATTCTTTCCTCACTGAACGCTGGATGGTCACATGGAGAAAAGGGTACCCAGCACGTGGCCACGTACCCAAGGGGGCAGGTCTGCGATCTCTTCCTGGGCATCCCTGATGCTGCCACCTCAGGACAGAGTGTCAGGAAGATAGCGGGGCTCATGGGATGTAGCAGTTGTCCCGGGAGCGCCTGTGAGAAGGGGTCCTTCGTCCACCCAGTTCCTTTCGGTGGCCGGGAGGTGCGTGTCCAGGCTGGGAAGGCTGCCGGTCCCTGTGGTGACCAGGGGTGCAGGTGGCCTCTGCACTGGCAGAGTGGTGTCCATGTGCTGGCTGCAGACTGGCAGCCGGGATGGGACAGGTGCAGACCCCATACTCACCGAGGTGGAGCCAGAGACCCCAGAAAGGGGTAGAAACCGCCTAAAGAAAGACGGTCTCCAGACGATCTGGCACATGCGGGGCCGGGAGACCGTCGCCTGCAGTCACGTCGAGGCACGGTGCCAGGAGGAGGGGACACCTCTTTAATTTGGAACACGTCTGACATAGTAAAGCTGTTTGTCTACGTGTCATGACTGCAATTCGTGCCCTGAACGGACACAGATCAGTTTGTTAACACGTTGCCTGTTGATCGCGCTCACCGTCACAGTCGTGGTGCAGCAGTGGGGCACGCCGCCCACTCTCGCTCCTGCTGGACTGGTGACACCTGCCTTCCTACCCGAAGCCACACAGGGACTGTTTTCACCTGCACGGCCTGGGGACGCTGGTTCTGTTTTCTGTTTTTTTAACTAGCTGTTCTGGTTAGAACGGTCTGGACAGGGCCGGGCTGGTTGCGAGGAGAGGCCCTCTGGATGTGAGAGCCGGGACACGTGCTGTAAGGTGCCTGTGATGTGCTGCCGCCTGTGGCCAGAGGAGATGTCTGTCTGCAGAGCCGTCCGTGGACCCCTTCGGGAAGAGCAGTGCTTAGTCCCACAGTAACTGAGGGCACCACTGCAGCCCTGTGGGGCCGACCTTCCTGAGGCCCCGAGGCCCCTGTAGGGCTGACACCTCACAGGCCCCGGCCCGCCTGCTGCCCGGGTCCCTCTGGACAGCGCAGGCAGCCTCCTCTGTGGCCAGGCCTGGGTGTTTGTGGACAAGGGCCTCTGCACCCGCCCAGCACCCCACGCCCAGGCGGGCGGGGGCCTGGAGGCAGGGTGTCCGCACCTGTCCCAGGAGGTCACCGCAGGGGGGCGTCTCTCCCAGGGCCGCAGCCCAGCCTACAGCCCCAGGCCCCCTCTCCTGGGGACCCTTGACCGTGTCCTCTGGGAAGTCCTGTTCCAAGGTTATTCACTTCTCATTTGATTTTCACAAAGATTGCAATTTCGTTTTTAACCCTCGATTGTGGTGTTTTTGGTGAAAGTCAGTAAGCCTCTGAGGGTGTTGGTGTGACTGGGGGGCGCAGCGGACAGAGGGGGCTGTGCCCGGCGTTGGGGTCTGGCCTGTGGAAGAGGAGACTGTCCTCTCCCCCTGGGGGTGGGGGTGGGGGTGGGGCAGTGCAAGGGCGCAGATGGGGCTGGGGAGCGAGGCTTGGGGGCAGCAGTTTTGTGGGCAGGTGTGTCCTTGGACCCCCGGAGCCCCCCTGTCCCAGCTCCCTCCTCCTGCCTGGGGCCTCTGATTCCCTCAGCTGCAGTTTGTTTTCTTGGCTCAGCTCAGTCTCTCCCCAGGGCTGTTTAGAATCCGGCACCGATTTTGAGCATCTGGAAGTCTGGAGCTTTCTCTCCAAAAGGCAGCGCGCCTGACACCCCGGGGTGAAGGCAGGGCCTGGCTCTCCCTCCAGGATGTGCCCAGGGGAGTGGCGAGCAGTGCTTTCCTGGGAAGGGGGTTTAGCGTGTCAAAGGCAGAACTTCTTGGTAGCAAGGACTATAAAAGACTGGATTGCCAGAGAAGGTAGTTGAACCCCTGCTTCTGGAAGGAAGCGGTGGTGGAAATGGGCTCCCCTCACTGGGGCTGCTGGACCCACTTCTGTTAGTGAATACGGTGGGCGGAGCCTGCATTTGAGGCCCCTGATTTTCTGGGGTTTTCCCAGCCAGCACAGCAGGGGGGCAGCCCTGCCCTCGACCACAGTATCTCCCAGCGGCAGACTTAACCCAGGAGCGGGCTGTACGGTTTCCAGGGGGCGCTTCCATTATTCAGAGGCCTGGGGAGACTCACCTCTTGGTGCACGAAGATGAGGGGCCGAGATGTTACAAAAAGTCAGTTCAAATCGGAGGCCCAGAGTGTGGCTTTCCTGTTCAAAACTACTAATTACACTAGTAGTGATTTTTGGAAGTGTTTGGAGGTTGTAATTAATGCGTAATGACTTTAAACGTGACTGCACGTCGATGTTGCCAGCTGGGTTTTTTTAAGAAGAACTCTTAGGCCGTGAGTTACCATCGGCGTTTCTGTGAGAGACCCCGGTTTCTGTGTTTTCATCCAAAGGTGCTTTCTTTGTAGCTGGTGACTGGGGCACCTGCATGTGACTAGTCTGTTAAAATGCCTTTAGATGTGCGCGTCCCAGCGTCTAAAAGCCAGCCACCCGGCCAGCCCTCCGCCAGTCCACCCACCAAACCCTCCTCCGGCCCCCACCCTGTCTGCTCACTGAACAAACGGGGCACAGACTCCGTGTTGAGGTCCCGCGAGCCACACTAGGCTCACCCAGCAAAGGTCTCTGCCGGCCCAGAGCTTGGTTTCTGCGGGCGAAAGACGTGGTGGACGAGGAGACAGGCGTTCAGGAGGGAAAATCCAGTGAGGGGGGATGTAAGTGTTGGGTGGGGACTGGGATTTTGAGAGGGTGGCTGGGGGGCAGGTTTTGAGTAAAGAGCAGAAGAAAGTAAGGGGCCGACCAGTGGTGTGGCCTTGGGCGGGGGGACGCGGGGGCAGAGGGAAGCCCTGGTGTGGAGAGTGGGGAGGGCCCGGGGAGGGGCTCGAGCTGCCTCCCGTTGGGGCAGCAGGAGCTGAGCGACCCCGCAGGGCCCCTGCCCACGGGTAGCGGGGTGGGGCAGGTCCCCGATCCTGGGTTCCTAAGCCTGTGGTTTGTGTCTGGGGACCAGCTGCTCATCCCTCCCTTTTCCTTCCAGAGCATTACAGCTATGTCTCCTCCAACATCGCGCCTGGCCTGCCCCTCACTGTGGCCCACCCCTCGCTGCCAGCCCCATGCCACGACCTGCAGACCTCGGCCCCGGGCGTCTCAGCCGCTGCGTCCGCGAGTCACCCCGCGGGGTACGGTGGAGCTGTGGACGGCGGGCCCTCAGGCTACTTTCTCACTTCGGGCAACGTCAGGCCCAACGGGGCGCCGGCTCTGGAGAGCCCCCGCATTGAGATCACCTCGTACCTGGGGCTGCACCACAGCGGCAGCCAGTTTTTCCATGACGTGGAGGTGGAGGACGTCCTGCCCAGCTCCAAGCGGCCCCCGTCCACGGCCACCCTGAACCTGCCCAGCCTGGAGGCCTACCGGGACCCCTCGTGCCTGAGCCCGGCCAGCAGCCTGTCCTCCCGCAGCTGCAACTCCGAGGCCTCGTCCTACGAGTCCAGCTTCTCCTACCCGTACGCGTCCCCGCAGACGTCCCCCTGGCAGTCCCCCTGCGTGTCCCCCAAGACCACAGACCCCGAGGAGGGCTTTCCCCGCGGCCTGGGGGCCTGCAGCCTGCTCGGGTCCCCACGGCACTCGCCCTCCACCTCGCCCCGCACCAGCATCACTGAGGAGAGCTGGCTGGGCACCCGCACGTCCAGGCCCCCGTCCCCCTGCAACAAGAGGAAGCACGGCCTCAACGGCCGGCAGCTGTCCTGCTCCCCCCACCACTCGCCCACGCCGTCGCCGCACAGCTCGCCGCGGGTCAGCGTCACTGACGACACGTGGCTGGGCAACACCACGCAGTACACGAGCTCAGCCATCGTGGCCGCCATCAACGCCCTGAGCACCGACGGCAGCCTGGACCTGGGCGACGGCGTCCCAGTCAAGGCCCGCAAGACCGCCCTGGACCACTCTCCTTCGGTGGCGCTCAAGGTGGAGCCGGCCGGCGAGGACCTGGGCACCACGCCACCCACGTCCGACTTCCCGCCTGAGGAGTTCTCGTCCTTCCAGCACATCCGCAAGGGCGCCTTCTGCGACCAGTACCTGTCGGTGCCGCAGCACCCGTACCCGTGGGCCCGGCCACGCTCGCCCACCTCCTACGCCAGGTGAGCCGGGCCGCGCCGCAGAGCCGGCTGTCAGGGCCTGGAGGCCGGCAGGGCCGGTTCCTCCTTGGGGGGTGCTCTCTGCTTCTGCCCGGGGTTTGCTGTCCGCCTTGGCGCCCGTGGCTTCCTCCTGCCGTGTCTGGTGTCTGAGTCTGACCTCCTTTCTGGAGGCACCCAGGCGTGTCGGGGCGGGCCCCCCTGAAGACCTCTCCTTCACCGATTCTCTGCTTTCTGAAGGCCGTCTCCATGTGAGGCCCTGTTCGGAGGTGCTGGGATCAGGGCTTCGGGGACAGGAGTCTGCCCATAACGGGTTTTCAGACACGTGCGAGGTTTCTGTTTTCGGTGGAGCCTGGCGCGTGTCTGTGGTTCTGCCCCCCCCACCCCTCTCCGCCTAATTGCCGTCCTCGTCCTCGTCGGCACAGATGGGGCCTCGGCTCAGCGACTCCCCAGAGCCGCCAGCCCTGCCGCGTTTGGAACAACACGGCCTCCCCCCCCCACCCCCCGGAGACGCCCGCCGCCTGGCTGTGAGCTCGGCACCTCCGAACCCTCATCTGGGGCTGTTGGGTTTTCTTCTAACGGCGTCGTGGCTGCTGGTGCTCCGCTGGGTCCACTTACTCAGCCTGGGGTTTTTATTTTTAACTAAACAGCTTTCCCAACAGGTGGCCGCTAATGCCCCCTGCAGAGCGCTTTCTGCTGCAGGGCTTCTGTCGGGCATAGCCTGCACGCCGCCCTCCGAGGCCTCTGTCGCGGGCCGGGCCGCCCCCGGGAGGAGGCGTGTGCCGTGCACCTGTGCTTCTGCCTGTGGTTTTGGGTATTTGAGGCTTAGCGCTCTGTTTTCCTGCTCCTCTTTGTTAGGGGGCATTCTGGGGGCGAGGCGGGGAGCAGGCCCTGCTGGTGTCCGGCGGTCGTGCCGGGAGCGAGGAGAGCGCGTCAGTAAGCCACTGACCACAGAGCTCGCTCCCTCCCTCCCAGACCCTCTGTCCCCACGGCTAACCTGCACACGGTGGACTCAGAGCCACAGGTGGCCGATTTAATTCTCGGCCCCAAATGAGCTTAGCTAAGCCGTTCTAGAGATTTGTGGCAAAGAAAGAGCATGAGAACTGACGGTTAATCAGCTGCTGAACACTCGCTTTCTGCCGCGTGTGTAGGCGTCAAGGGGCAGGGAGAAAGCAGGACTTACCGCTGACTCCTCCCTGGCTGGCATCAGGGTGCGTCCTCATTTCTGTTGCTTAAGAAGCTGGTGTATTCAAAGTTACTCTCAAAACAAACCTATCTATGAACCTGGATTTCATTCATCAATGTGGGAATTAAAAAACCCACTTAGAGGCATTTAAAACGTGTGGGAGCTGTTTCTGCAAGCTGTACTTCTTCACAATTTTTATTTAAATAAAAAAGAATATTTGAAAGGTGACCTCAAGCACAGACTCACACGCAGTTCGTAACCTTCTGCATTTTCGTGACCACGAAGGTCCCCGTGGCTGATGAGGAGACTTGGGTGAACCTACGTCAGAGAGAGTGAGGTAGTGACTGCAGCCGCGGCGACGACTCTGGCCTGCGGGTTTGGGACGAGGGGGCGGAAGTTCAGGTGGACCCTGGCGTCTGCAGGGGCTGCCACGACAAACATGCGGACGCTCAGTCCCCACGCGTCTCGCGGAGCCACACTGCCTTTCTGTGTGGTTACAGGGGTGCCAGCCCGTGGCCACGCCTTAATTTGGTGGCTCCTGTGAAGACCCTGAATCCAAGCACGGTCGCCTTCTGAGGTCCCGGCTGGGGGCTCCGACCGGGGACCTTTGGCGGGGCCAGCTCAGCTTGTGACACCTGGTGCTGGGGTGGGTGGGACCCTGGTGCCTCCTTCTTCCAGGCCCCTGGCTGCCGGGAGCCTGCGGGAACGCGGGTGTTTCTGGCGAGGTGTCCTCTGCGCACCAGGCATCTTTACCCCGGGGTCTGGGCGATGGCCTTGGGGCCGAGACTCTGCCTCTTCCTGCCTTGGCTGCGAGCCCTGAGTGAGGGGTGCTGCCCGCAGCACTCCCGTGAGTTCAGGCAAACAGACCCCGTGGACGCACCACCCTTCCCCCTGGGGGTTGAAGTCAGCTTTTCCCACTGTTTTGGTTCCACGCCAGAACACGTCTCCTGGTCCCCAGCGGCGGTACGTTTCCATGTGACCCCGTCCAGGTGCTCGGGGGGAGAGCGGGGTCGGCTGCTTGACCCATTGGGGCCGGTGACCGACTTCTTCCCACGGCGGCTGCTGCGCGTGCCCGAGACGGGGGGCCAGCCCAGGGGACGCCAGCGGGCGCTCGGGCCACACAGCTGAGGTGCGAGTGTGGGACGGCCTCTGGCATCTGGGGTGGAGAATTCATCGGGGCGAGTCCAGTCCCCTTGCCTGGGTGCGGCCCCGCCGCGCACGCTGCTAGCTCTGTCCTGAGGGGGAGGAACTTTCTCGTGAGACTTGTGCGGTGCTGGCCCCTCCCCAGGGGTCTCGGTGTTGTGGGACCGTTTCCCCTTGGGGGCCTTTCTGCCTGGATAGCGTGTGTGGCACGCCCCTCGGTGCAGAGCGGTCCGACAGACCCCCAGGCGTCACAGAACGATGCTGAGTTCTTGCCACAGAAGCTGTGCTTGTGAAAGCAGCAGCGGTGTTGCACAGGAGTGAATCGTTTCAGAGTTTAGACTTATTTTGGGGCTTAAGAACGGTGTTCCTGCCCTTGGAGCTCAGGAGACGCTAGAGCCCCCAGATGAGGGTTTTGGGTTCTGCGTCGGAGTCCGGCCACAGCCTCTTCAGAACGGAGAGGGTCCTCTTCCCACTGTGCTCCAGGCTGCGGGTGAGAATGACTAATTCTGCCGGCGACAGTCACAGGCAGCGCCCACGGTCCCCTCGTCCGCACGGTGGGGGTGGCCGGAGGTGCTGAGAGTGGAGGGGCCCTGCCAGCAAGGCCGGGGACAGGAGAACCCTCGCCGGCGGGGTTGTTTCCGGGTGGTGGTTCTCAGATGGTGGCTTTTGGAGGACTTCACGCCGACCCAGAGGAGCTAAAGCTTAAGCGTCTGTGGAGCTGAATGCACTAGAGCGCCTGTCGGGGCGCTCGCGGTCCGTCCCGTGAACTGGCTCGCGGGCAGTGTCAGCTTTCGAGGTTTCAGCATCGTTGGCGATCTGGGTCCAGCGTAATCTCTGAATCGTCTCTAAAGAGGCGAAGTCCATGAGGGTGTGGACTGAGAGGGAGCTGGGTTTGGAAGGCAGAGCGTCTCCAGAAGAGGCTTGTGACCCAACAGCGCGCGGCCGGACTAACTGCCCGCCGTGGCGCGCGCCCTTTTGAGGGAAGACGCGGGAAGCAGTAGCCTCCCGGGGGCGAGGGCGGCGCAGGGACGGGGGCGCCAGGTCCGCTTGGTTCAGGGACCCGAGGCCTGCACGTCCAAACCGCTTCTTCCAGGTCTTGGCTGTGGCTGATGATCTGAGTGACGTTCTCGACTCTTAGGCCGCACGTAAGCGTTGGCTCCAGAAGCCTGACGGAGCCGTCGCTGACCCCAGCTGCACTGCGTCCGCCCGTTTCAGGGTTTATCCCCGTTTGGAGTCAGATTGGGTAAAGCTGGAGGCTGGTGACCACCCCTAGCGCGTCACTCCTCCCCTGCGGCCCCGTCCCTGGGCCGCCTGCGCTGGCTTCAGCCAGGCCATCCCCGCCCCCCCTGCCC